GGTGAGGAATGGATTGCGGCTTGGTCATCCCCTCTGGGGGGCGATTTCTCGCTTTCTGTCTGTCTCTCTCTGGCGAGCGCACACACCCTATAGCAAAAACCTCTATTAAAAAAAAAAAAGACAAGCTATACAGAATACAACAGAGTAAAATCCCCGGTGAAAACTACCCATTTTTTTTAACACCTTCTACTGACCCGGATGATGAGGCATAGCCACTGTCTTACACTCAACGCAGGAGACAAGAAAGCAAAATTACTAGCCTTGATTCATGTTATAAAGAAAAAAAGACTGCCGTGTCTGCCCAACTCCCACTCCCACCCCAGCTCACCCAACAGCTGCCAGGGAAAAAAATCATAGAAGAAATGAACACAAAAAGAGGCTGAGATGGGCCCGAATCAGATGGGCTGATCAGAGACCGTCTTACCAAGGAGGACCTTCGTCTGTCCGAGGAAGGGAAAGAATGAGCCAAGCAAGCGCTGGCGGCAAGGTTCTGGCCAGGGAACGTTCCAGCAAAGGGGCGGGGCCAGCCGGGGCGGGAGTGTCCGTTAGGGATTTGCCCAGCCCAGGGAGCTGGTTGAGGTCAGCGCCGGGAGACCGTTATCTGTCCCTCTCCTGGTTTTCCTTCATCTTGTCAACCACCTAGACCGTATTCAAATGAATGTGTACATGAGAGTTACAGAGCTGTTTCAAACTACTGTGTTTGTTATAAATGATCCACATAGCCTTTTTAAGATAATACTTTTCTGTAGTACTTTTAAAAATAAGGACCTATATGGCTGTTCCACAGTAAAAAAAGGAAAAAGGACATGGTCAAAACCTGAATTTCTGTATCCCTGATGTAACCTTAGTTAAATTTGTTGCATATCCTTGCAGAATTACAAAGACTTAGCTGTATTTTAAAGTTGATTACTATTTTATTAAAATAGATATGAAAGGATATAGATGCCAAGCAATTCTTTCAATAAAAGAAACAGAACATTGTCCTAAATTCTGTACCAGGAACTTATCTACTAGACAGGGTAACTTGGACCCAGGACCCAAAATAGCTCTCGGGGCTATTTTAAATGTTTTAAATTCTTACAAAAATCAGAAAATAGGGACCAGCAGTTAGCGTAATGGCTATGTCCCTGGACTCCCATGTAGCCAACTGCGGTTCGAGTCCCGGACCCAGTGGCTTAAACTCACATCAGGCACATGTGTGTGCATGCCCAAGATCCCAAGAGGAGAATGGAGGAGAAGGGATTGCGGCGTGTCCATCCCCCCGGGGGGTGATTTCTCACTTTCTGTCTCTCTGTCTTTCTGGCAAGTGCACGCGCCCTATAACGAAAACGTCTCAAAAACAATAATTAAATTTAAAAAAAAGTGGGATTTTAGGTTAAAGAAAATGTTTGACTATATAACAATATAGCTTTCTTTATGCCACCACAGTCATAAAATTTTTACTCATTTTTTAATTATTGTATTTTTGGAGAGATTTTCACTATAGGGCGCGTGCGCTCGCCAGACAGAGAGAGACATAGAGACAGAAAGCAAGAAATCACCCCCCAGAGGGGATGGTCACGCTGCAATCCCTTCTCCTCCATTCTCCTCTCGGGATCTTGGGCACACACGCACACGCACCTGGCATGAGTTTTAAGCCACCGGGTCCGGGACGCGAACCGCGGTCGACTACGTGGGAGTCCAGCGACATAACCATTACCCTAACTGCTGGTTCCCTAATTTTTTAAAGATTTTTAAAAGAGGTTTTTGCCCTAAGACTTTTGCATGGGGGGGAGGGAACAGAGACAGTGAGAAAGTGAGAAATCCCCCACCCCACCCTGGGGATAGCCACACAGCAATCCTTTCTCCTCCATTCTTCTCCCGGGATCTTGAGCACACACAACCACTCAGTGTGAGTTTCAAGCCACCAGGTCCAGGATGTGAGCTGTAGTCAACTATGTGGAAGTCCAGCAACATAACTACTACACCATCTACTTTTTGCTATAGGGTGCACGCATTCACCAGAGAGACAGAGAGAAAATGAGAAATCACCCCCCAGGGAGATGGCCATGCTGTAACCCCTCCTCATCCATTCTCCTGTCAGGATTTTGGACACACACACACAGTTATCCAGCTTGAGTTTCAAGCCGCTGGTTTCGGGACTCAAACCGGGGTCTGCCATGTGGGAGTCCAACACCTTAACCACAACGCCCCCTGCTGGCCCCAACTTGTACTGATTTTTACAGAGGAAAGTCTATGGAGTCATAAACTATGTGGGACCAACAAAAGTCATCATTTTCTCCTGTTTCTGAAGCCCTTTGTGAGTCTGTCATTATAACCATCCCCATTTGTTTGTTTTTTCCAAAGGGTATGTAATACAGTGGGGGGGGGAGTGAGAAATCACCACCTCCCACCCCCCATGGAGGATGGTCACAACCCAATCCCTTTTCCTCCAGCTCTCCCTCCTGTCAGGATTTGGGGCACGCTTACACATTCACCTGGTATATTTCTCAAGCCGAGGGGCCCAAGACTCGAACTACACAGTTGGCCATGTGGGATCCAGCTGCCTCAGCCACCACGCCACGGGCCCACCCTTATGTCATTTTCTGTACAGAGAATACAACGATAACTCCAATTTTTCTCTAGTAAGGTTGATAAAATGTATTATTTAGAAAATTTCTTTCAACTTAATTACCTATTTTAATAATACCTTTAAAAGTTTTAGGATTATCAAATATAAGAAAATTTCTATCAAATTTTTTTCACAGATAAGCTGTAAGATTTCAGAGCAGTTAAGGTTTTGTAGCATAGTGATTGAACCTGAATACTTTTTTTAAAAAACTTGCTATATAGGGTGAGAAGAGAGACAGAGGGAGGAAAAGTGGGAAAGCACCCTACCCGTGGTTGATGGTCATGCTGGAATTCCTCCTCTATTGTCTTCTTGGGGTTTGGGGTATGCACACATATGTGCCTGGTGTGTTTTTCAAGCCACTGGGTCCAGGACTCAAACTGCACAGTTGACCATGTGGGATCCGGCTGCTTTAACCACCACCACTGACTTGTCCAAACCTTAATACTTTAAATGAATGACACTCAATTACCAGGTAACAAATGCTCTTTTTTTTTTTTTTTGAGAGAGAGAGAGAGGTGTTTGTTTTTGTTTTTGTTTTGCTACAGGGCATGTGCATTCACTAGAGAAACAGAGAGATAGAGAGACAGAAAGTGAGAAATCACCCCCTAGGGGGGATGGCCACACTGCAATCCCTTCTCCTCTTAGGATTTTGGACATGCACGCACTCATGGCTGGCATGAATTTGAAATCACCAGCTCCAGGACTCAAATCGCAGTCACTACGTGGGAGTTCATTACGCTGTCCTCTGGTCCTGATGTTCTCATTTTTAGATGCATGTTGTTAAGTTTTATATGTCAAAATTTTTTAAAGAATTATTCTATTTAACTTTATTTATTTTAATTTGACCAGAGAGGGACAAAGTGAGAGAAAGAGGGAAAGTGAGAAAGCAAGCCTCTAGGTCCAGGACGTGAACCATGGTCAGCCACATGGGAGTCCAGCATCCCTAACCACCACACCACCTGCTTGTCCCTGAAAGTCAACATTTTATGTTAAAAAATTATGAAATGACAACGGAAATTGTACCAATTTCCCTGTACTAAAAATAAAATTTAGTTTCAAAGAGCATGGTGAGTCACGTCTACAAATGTTAATCTTGCTCTAGCAGGCCATTTTGACCTGGTGATTGTGGGACGCCCCCTACATCCACTCCCTGACACAACATTTTATAATCAGTAAAGCCTTCTTAAACACAGGCATTCTTTACTGACTCTAAGTCTCTCCAAAACAAAAACTCAGCCCTATATAATTTACATGCACTCTACACACAATTTGCTCAGTAGGATCGATTTTGTGATTTGATGAGTTTTAGCCCCATATTTTTATGTCACCTTTTCTAATCAAGATAGAAAACATTTTCTTCATCCCAAAAGTGTCCTTGTGCCACTTTGCAGCAACCCCCTTCTCTACACTCACCTACCAGAACCTCTGATCTGACCATCATCACCATATTTATCACCATGGAGCCACCTGTCTGTTCCAGAACGCTAGCCACGGAATTATACATTGTGCAGTCTTTGTGTCTGTCTGCTTTTGTTCAACATAACGTCTGTGAGGTTCATAGATGTTGCATGTTTCAGCAAGCAGTTGATTTTTATTGCTGAACTTCATTAAATGAATATATCACAATTTTTTTCACTCATCTATTGATGGTCATTTGGGGTATTCAAGTTTTATGATACTGCTAATAAAGTTGTTATGAACATTATTGTACAAGTCTTTTAATGGGCCTATGTTCATTTATCTTGGGTAAATATCCAGGATAAATAACTTAGTGGTTAAGCAGCTGGATCCTACATGGCCAACCACAAGGTTCAAGTCCTGGAACCCACACCTTGAAAAACACAGTTGGCATGAGTGTGTATGTGCCCCAAATCCCAAGAAGACATTGGAGAAGTGATTGTGGCATGGCCATCCATCCTGGGTTTTTTTTTTTCTCTCTCTCGCTGTCTCTCTCCACTGAGTGCACAAGCCCTACAACAAAACTAATATATATATATAGTATATAGTGGTTATGTTGCTGGACTCCGGTTTGAGTCCCAGAAGCAAAGGCTTGAAATTCACTTGGAGGGTAAATTCTTGCTTTCTGTCTCTCCATCTTTCCAGTGAGTGCACACACCCTATATATGGCAGAAATCTCTCTCTAAAAAAAAAAAGAAAACACATGATTCGAGTCTGACAGCTTGCTGGACCAACTTCCAAGCAACCTCGGGTAGCCTCATGGTTTCTCGGTATTTAATCGCCAGAGTTCTGGAAAAGAAAAGTGATATACAAAAACGGAAGTGAAGGAATGAGGTAGAAACAATTCAGGTGGTTTACATTCCGAAGTTATATTCTGCAGTAACACAGTTTAAAAGGCGGGATCCCTGTGATTGACATATTTATCCCCATATTTATCACCATGGAGCCACCTAGCTGCCATTATTGGCTGTACCCTAGAGAGTGAAAAAAAAGCAGCCTTATTTGTAATAAACAAGGTCACAGTTTGTTTATGGAACCCAAGCAGGAGTACAGAGGCGTTTTGGATATTCTTTAACATTAGGTAAGTATGCTTTTAACTTTATGGGAAAGTATCAACATATTTTAAAAATGCTTTTACCGGGCCAGCAGGTGGCATGGTGGTTAAGGTGCTGGAATTCCCACATGGCTGGCCATGGCTTGAGTCCCGGACCTGTCAGCTTGCTTTCTCCCTCTCCCTCTCTCTCTCTCTTCTTTCTCTGGCAAAACTCATGTGAAAAATAAAATTAACAATAATAAAAAAATTTTTTAAAAGTGCTTTTACCATTTCACCCTCTGATAGACAATGTATGAGAATCTCACTTGCTCAGTAACCTTGTCAACACTTCCTACTGTGAATCTTTTGCTAAGTTTGCTACAGGGCACATATGCTTGCCAGAGAGAAAGAGAGAAAAATCACCCCCGTGAGGATGGCCACACAGCAATCCTCTCTCTTCCATTCTCCTCTCGGTATTTTGGACAGGCACTCACATGCACTGGTGTGATTTTCAAGTCGCCAGTCTAGGACTGGAGCCATGCAGTCGGCCATGTGGGATCCAGCCACCTTAGCTGCCATGATACCTGCTGGCCCACTCACTAGGAATCTTTATAAGCTGACACCCAGAATAACCATCACGGTCTCAGTGGCTCGGCGGGCGGGTCCATTGTTCTCTGCGTGGGCTCTGCCTCTCTGTGACATGTTTGGGTGCTATACCCAGGTGGGGCACTGAGGTGAGTGAAGGGTCTTAACTGGGGTGTTTTCCTTCTTGAGGTCTGTGTGCCTAATGTTCAAACCCTAAAATGCCTGTCCAGTTTGTTAATGCTTTATAGCAGTCGGCCATATCTGGTACTAATAACCCAATGCCATTCATTTCTTTCTATCTGTAGCTTAGTTTTATTTTTTCCAATTTGCCAGAGAGTACATGTGCTCACCAGAGACAGAGACAGAGGAAAAAGGAGAAAGTCTGATAGGCAGTCAGGTAGAAATGAGTGGGCAACTCTAGGAGAGTAGCAGAAGGATATCAGCCACATCTATCCAGCGTATCAAGGACTACAGCCAGACCCTTTGCAGAGACCTGGCCCTCCCACCCAGCATCTGGTCCCGGGAAGGAGAGGCAGATCCTGTTTTTCTTCCTTAGTGCCTGAGAAAAGCACACATAGAAGGTTGTTAACTTTTCTCTTGTCATCCCTTATAAATACACAAGGACCCAACAAGATGTGTTGGTCAGCATCCTCATTCCCACTGGGGAGTACACTGATTAGGCAGTTTGTCTTAGCACATACTTTCTGCATGATTAGGTACTCAAATTCCTTACCTGTGGGAGAGACACTCAAGCACGGAAGGAGCCCGCAGATTCTCAGATTCAAACAAAGAAGCCAGATACTGTGACAGACCTTCCCCTGCTAAATAGTCATTATCAACTCTTAGAATAAATGTAACACCTAACCCCATGCCCAGCGCTGTTGTCCTTCTCTGGAAGCTACCCACCTGTCGTTCAGGCATGGAGGTGAACTTCTGTTCTATTAAAAATCCTCACTTTCTGGGACCAGCAGTTGGAGCCATGGCTATGACGCTGGACTCCGATGTAGTCGACCACGCTTCAAGTCCTGGACCCGGTGGCTTAAACTCACGCTGGTCACGTGTGCATGCATGCCCAAGATCCCGAGAGGAGAATGGAGGAGAAGGGACTGTGGCGTGGCCATCCCCCCGGGGGTGATTTCTCGCTTTCTGTCTCTGCCTTTCGGGTGAGCACATGTATCCTATAGCAAAATCCTCTCAAAAAAAAAAAAAAAAAAGAGTCCTCACTTTCCTTTTAAAACTTTTCTTTTTCTACTTTAAAAGTGTTTGTGGTTTTTCATTTTGTGTCTCAGGACGGGTCTCTGTTCTTAGAGATCTGAACCTATAGAACCAAGAATTTTACACAACACAGTTCAACATGCTCCCATCCTATAACAAAAGCACCCCTCAGAACCAGCAGATGGCATAATGGTTATGTTGCTAGACTTCCACATAGTCGACCACAATTCGAGTCCTGAACCCAGCGGCTTGAAATTCACACTGGGCACATGTGCGTGCGTGCCCAAGACCCCGAGAGGAGAATGGAGAAGAGATTGCAGCATGACCATTCCCCCAGGGGATGATTTCTTGCTTTCTGTCTCTGTCTCTCCAGAGTGCTCACCTACTCTATTGCAAACATCTCTCTTAAAAAAAAAAAAAAGGCACCCTTCAAGGGGGCATGGTCATGCCCAAAACTGCTTCTCCATTTCTCCATCTTCATCCTGTTGGGGTTTGGGGCACCCATGCACACGTGCCTGGTATGTTTTTCAAGCCATTGGGATCAGGATTCAAACCACAGTCAGCCACGTAGAATCTGTCTCTCTCTTAACCACTAGGCTATGGGGCTGGCCCAACAAACATAAATAATTACCATTTTTTGTTTGTTTGTTTGTTTTTTGTTTTGTTTTGTTTTGTTTTGTTTTGGGGGGGGCATACACTACAGTTTTATCTTCCA